CTTTCCCCCCCCTTCATTTTGTCCAAGATGTGAGGAGTTGCCAGGGCAGACTGAGAAGTGACACAATTTTGATCTCCTTGTTGTGAATGTGGAGAACTGGTGGGGAGGGGTTTGGGGGGGGCACTCATCTGCTGCCAGTCAAGTTCCCCTTTCTCCACTCAGACCCAGGCTCCCAAGTCATGCATCACGGACCCGGAGAAGAAGCTAATCTAGCTCTCTAGCAGAGCCATGCTAAATTCTCCCTGCACTAAAATCATTCCCCTGGGAATCAATGGGCCTATTCTTTTGTTGGCCACCATTTGCTCCACGGTTCTACACTCCATGTGAAACAGCAGACAGTCATAGGGAAACATAAAACATAATGTGGAAGTAAAGTTGGACATTAGTAGGCCCGGGAGGGGAGGCATATTGGGTCTGTTATGTTTTAGGCCTTAGGTAAGAAGGGTTGTTTTGAATACTGTGTGACCTCGTGTAGCCGAAGTACACAAAAAGAAAACAGTATTTGTATTTCATTTCCCCAAAATTTGGAGTTTATGTATTTTTGTTGTGTATTTTTATTATGTTTTTGTTTTGGGTAAACCCATCGGGGACTTTTATTTTGAAGAAGGACGTCACTTCCTGCGGCATTTGCCCTCCCCTCAGTCGGCGGGAAGCCTTGGTGGAGAGAGGTAGGTGAGTGCTAGTGCTGGGCAGTGGTGGCTTGATGGTTAGGGAAGCGCACTTATAATCGAAAGATTGCAGGTTCGAATCCCCCACCAGCCAGTCACCACTGAGGTACCCTGAGCAAGGTACCGTCCCCAAGCACTGCTCCCCGGGCGCTGAATTAGCTGCCCCCTGCTATGTCACGAAAGTCACATACAGTATGGGTCAATGCAGAGAACACATTTCGTTGTGGTGTGCTGTGCTGTTTCAATGTTCAATCAATGTCAATGTTAACAATGACCACTGATCACCAAATTCTAATTCTATAATACAGTGTTAGTCATACAAAATTACTAGTATATTATTAGTTGTATTTTATCATGGTTATATTAATGTACAGAAGAATACACAGGTTTTTCAGCACACCACAGTATCACGCTAATTAATGGAGTATTGTAATAGTTTTTTGGTTTTTGTCTGTTAAGGGAGTGTGACGAGCGTATTCCTGTTGTGCTATATTCAGTTCCTTTGTGTATTCAGGTACGTGAATGTTTGATTATTGTACTGTGTGATTTATTTAGTTATAACTACCAGTTTCTTGTTTTATGAATGTGTATGTACTGTTTTGTCGTTATTTCATGTTTTATAATTCATAGCTGATGGTTGGAATACGCATAAGATAAATTAGAGAATGTTTAAATATATTTTACTTTATCTTATGTTAGTATATGTTTATATTGTAGGTATGTGAAGAGCGCGACCAACATGGCCGCCTTTTT